CTGAAAGTCAACACTTCAGTCACATCTGGATTGCTTCATTTCAAATCCATCGTGGTGGTGTGCAGAGACAAAATTACGAAAATTGTGTCACTGTCCAAATACTTATGGACCTGACTGTATATGCTCCCTCTGGGTGCAATTGTCCATAAACATGGTATTAACTTCCACTGTTATGCTGATGACACACAGTTACATGTTTAAGCAAAGCCAGATGAGAGACACCGGCTTAATAAACTAAAGGACATCAGAAACTCGATGCTTACTTACTTCCTTCTGCTTAATTCCGACAAGACAGAAGTACTTCTACTAGGACCACAGGCAGCTAGAAGCAAGCTTTCGGGCCTTCCTGTTTCATCATGTGCAGCAGTAAAAGACCTTGGTGTGATTATTGACTCCAGTCGTTCATGTGAAGCTCATGTAGATAATATTATTAGGATAGCCTTCTTTCATCTCAGAAATGTTGCTAAGATAAGAAATATTATGTCACTACCTGATGCAGAAAAACTAACTTTTGTTACCTCTAGGATGGATTACTGTAATGCCTTGCCGTCTGGATGCTCCAGCAGGTGCATAAACAAGCTCCAGGTAGTCCAGAATGCAGCAGGCAGAGTCCTTACTTGAATCAGCAAATATGACCACATATTCGGTACCTCAGATAAGGCTACAGCAGAGGGCAGAGCTTTCTCTTACAAAGCCCCACAGTTTTGGAACAGCCTTCCAGTTAGTGTCTGAAAACAAACAACTCTGCAACAACAAACAAACCCATGAGCTTTTAATAGCATCATTGCTAAGCCTAGAAGTCACCATACAGTGTGCCACACAGCCCATCTTGGCTTGCTTGTGCGGTGTTTCAACTCAGGTTGTAAGAAAGGCATAGCTCTTGCACCAACAGGAGAGTCCTGCATCAAGCACTACTGGAATTCAAACTCTGGATTTCCTGTTTACTTGACAGGCACTTTAGAGCCCAAGTTCATGTCAGGTTAGTCCAAATTCATGGAAAGCATAGTGCTTGCAATCACAGAAGAGTTCCCGGTTTTTAGACAGGTGCTTTTCTGTTGATAGCACTTGAAATCAACATGCAACATGTCTGAAAGCAAACAAGTCTGGCAGAACCTGGACCCAATTTGGCTTCCCGGCATGGTGTTTCATGTCAGGTTCTTCCAAATTCACAGAAGATTTTCGGTTTTTCAGACAGCCGCTTTTCAGGCGAGGGCAATTGAAGTGAACAAGCAACACACATCAGGAAACAGCTCTGGCAGAAACTGAACCCACAAACTTTTAATAGCATCAAGGCAAAACCAGGAAGTCACCCTCCTGCATACCACAGGACCCTTGGTTGCATGGTGTTTCAGCAAAGGCACAGCTCTTGCACCAGGCACTGCTGGGATTCGAACCCAGGATCTCCTGTTTACTAGACAGGCGCTTTAACCAACTAGGCCACAGCGCCCCAACCACGTTTGGGGGCAATCTTCAACAGCCCATGCTTTTGAAACTTGCAGTCGAAAGCAACATGCAAACAACTGTTGACAGCAATTGCTCTGAGGGTACTCAGCATATGTTTCTAATCTTTGCTAATCAGAA